TATATATGTACACGTGTATACAAGTGTGTGGCGGTTGTGATAATGTCGGTGTCATGTGCTAGATTGATATTTTTTTGTGCGTATGTATAAATCCATACATGTGTATTATTGGCTAGTGGGTTGCGTAGAACGACGACCAATCGCGAAATATGAAGCAAGACTGGTGAAAAAGACGTATATTAGAATAGAAATACTTTTTTCAATATGAAAATGGATGTATATATATCACTCTGCAACAATCTATCAATATATAAGATACTGACGTACAAATAAAACATACAGCAATACTATCGACTGTTTAGGTTACTAAGAGATATTAGACAACTTGTGAATCGTGCGCTGTTTGCCTACAACAGGCCTCTAGTAGCTTCTACATATGCAGGTATGCTAGCGTACAGTGCATTGCTGCAAACGGGTATGAGCAAGTGTATGGTCTGACATACAGCAGAATACACCACACACACACAATCAAAACGCCGCGTATATATCCTATATCACTATGTGAAACAGTCCTACGCGCGAAGACCAAGACTACTTTTACTTTTGCGTGAATTGGGGACCATTGCGAAGCACTGTTTTACACCGAAGGCGTACGTGCAACAGGGCCAGCGCAGCAACAGTACTACCAACCACGCGCAACAGAACCAGCGCAGCAACAGTACTAGCAGGCATGCGCAGGAGGGACTTGTACCCACGCAAACACAGTCCACTCTCCAGCAATAGCCTCGTACCCACACGCACACGCGTCGTTTATGTCTCCTGCGCAAATAGGAGTGTATCCTCAATCGCCCTGGTACACACAATACACTTGACTAGCAGCTGTACCCACCCATTCACCCACTCACGAACCATATTAGCAGTCTCGCCCACCCACTCACCCATGAACCATATTAGCAGTCTCGCCTACACACGGGTGCACGCACGCTGGCCCATATCATGTAACGTACACAGTACAGTGCACATGATACACACACACACTACTCACCACAGCCTTTAAGCGCGCTTGGGCTTCAGCAAGCTCGGCGTCTGCCTGAGACTTCCTGCTCAAGACTTCTCCTTGCTCAGCCTGCCGTCGCTGCTTCTCTTTGTCCATCTGAGGGTGTAGAACAAGGTACATCAAGATACAGGACTAAAAGCTGAACAAGAAAATCAAGATACAGGACTTAAAGCACGCTGTAAATTTGCATATTTTGATAGAATGCGTGTGTCGTTGCCATGGCGCATGAGCACATACTAGAAAGCATTGGAGTATGCGGTCTATGCATACTCATCGACAACAAGGACAAACATTCCACTTGATTGGGATTTAAAGCACAATTATTCGTCACGAATGGCACCAGTACCTACTTATTCACAACACCACCTTGAGGATAGG